TTCCTTCCTTCCTTCCTTCCTTCCTTCCTTCCTTCCTTCCTTCCTTCCTTCCATGGTGCGCAGTGGTTAAAAGATAGTATTGCAGGCTAGTTCTATTCACTGCCATTTCCTTTCTCTCTTTCCTTCTTTTTCCCTCCTTGCTCTCTTCCCATCTTCCCTTCTTTTTCTTTGTCTTTCCTCTTTCCCCTTTCCTGTACCCTTCTTGCATGCTCAAATGCAAAAGGGGAAAGATTTCTCCTTTGGTTTTGTTTTTAGGTTGTTTTGCTAGCCCTCCACCAGGGAAAATGGGGCCCAGGGGAGCCCTCCCAAGCCCCACGCTTGCTGGCAGGAGCCCCCGCGGGCCTTGAGTTTGACACCCCTGGTTTAGACAGCCTCCAGCATGGACTGCAAGCTGAAGTTGTGCAGCAAACGATCAATTCCACCTCCCCACTTTTCCAGATCTTATTTTAAAGCTTTTATCTTGCAGGTTGCAAAGGGCGGGGCAGGGAAGGTGACCTACGTCTCCCAGGAGCCCCCATAAGCCTCAGGTTGCCAATTCGGGCCATTGCATCCACGGGGAAAATGTCAGTTCAAAACCTGGGCTCCCCCCCAAAAGAGCTCCTCCTGCAAGGGGGGCAGCAAAGGGAAATTTGCCCAACGCCTCCCAAAGGGTCGGGAACCAGCTTTGGAGAGAGGCATTGAGGCAGGATTAGAGGCTGAGTTAGTTGGAGCAGAGAGAGAAAGGGGCTGGTGGGAGAAATGAGGGAAGGCAACCCAGCAGGGATGGCACAAGGTCCACCAGAGGGAAGGTGGCATACTTACCCTGCTGATGAGTGGAGAGTTACAGCTCCCTGGCACCTGGTGGGCAGCCTCCATCAGTCCAGGGCAACGAGGACGCATGCAGAGGAGGAGTTAAGGAAGTGGTTAGTGCAGAGGACCCCAAACTTGGCCCCTTTAAGACTTGTGGACTTCAACTCCCAAAATCCTCCAGCCGGCTCTGCTGGGAGTTGAAGTCCACCAGTCTTAAAGGGGCCAAGTTCAGAGTCCTCTGGGTTAGTGCATCCGTGAAGGAGTTTGAGGAAGGTTAGTTGGTTATTATCCAGTTTTTCCAAAGACAGGCAAGAGGAGGGGGAATGGCACAATCCCACCCGGAGGCTTCGGAGGGCAGCTTCAAGGGACACTTCGCATGCCCTGACCCCGAAATCGACCGGCACCACGCAAAGCCATGGAGTTTGCTCAGTCCTGCCAGAGCTCAGCACAGCCCTTGGACAAATGGACATTAGTCCCTCACCACTCCAATGAAATCAATCAATCTGAATAGAGTTGGAAGGGACCTTGGAGGTCTTCTAGTCCAGCCCCCTACACAAGCAGGAGAACCTATATCATTTCAGGCAAGTGGCTGCCCAGTCTCTTCTTAAAATCCTCCAGTGATGAAGCATTCACAACTTCTGGTGGCAAGCTGTTCCACTGGTTGATTGTCCTTATACTGTTAGGAAGTTCCTCTTTAATTCCAGGTTGCTTCTCTCCTTTAATAATTTCCATCCGCTGCTTCTTGTGTTGCTTTCTGGCCTTTGGAAAATAGGTTGAGCCCTCCCCTTCTTTGTGGTAGCCCCGCAAATATTAGAAGACTTCTATCAGGTCACCCTTGCCCTTCTTTTCTCTAGACTGGCCCTACCCAAATCCGGCAGCCATTCTCCATATGTTTTTGTCTCCAGGCCTTTCATCAAACTTTGTTGTTCTTCTCTGCACTTTTTCCAAAATTCTCAACATCTTTTTTACAATGTGGTGACCAAAACTGGATGCCGTATTCCAGGTGTGGTCTTACTAAGATTTTACAAAGCAGCATGAATACTTCATGTGATTTTGATTCTATGCCTCTGTTTATACAACCAAGGATTGTATTAGCTCTTTTGGCTGCTGTCACACACTGTTGGCTCATATTTAAGTGATCTTCTTTGGAAGACAAAATGGATTATAAATATACAAATATAAAAATGGTGCATCAACTCCGACTTCAGGGTTTTTGCAGACACGTCACCACCTGTGAGTTTGCTACCCTGGTCCGGTGCTTATGCGAGACTCTGCTAGCTTCTTCCCAGCCAATCCTGGCCCAACCTGTCTTCCAGGTCAGCCACACGGTCAGCCAGGGGGCTGCTATTCTGCTGTACTCAAAATGTAGTCACATTATCATCTCTGCTGGCCTTTGTCCCTCCAATGGCATCCCCAATTTTGCTGCCTCTCCAGCCCCCTTTGCCAAAGACTGGCTTTGGCTCTGTGGGGCTGGCCGATGCCTCCCTCCAGCCTCTCAGTGCTTAACATGCCCTCCCCTTCTGTGACCATGGGGCCCTGCCTGGTTTGCCGAACCCAAGACCCGACAAGGAACCTCCTGAAAATCCTCACCCAACCTGCAATCTCCAGGGGGCCTGGGAGAGAGTTCATAGCCACTTCACCCTTAGCAACATTTGCAGAGACTCTGGTTTGGTTACAGCCTTCAACGCTTCTTCCTGTCTCTGAGGCCCCAGACGTTAAATTCAGTGAGGCTGGCAAGGTCTCCCTGTCAGGGGGGGCTACTGGGGGTTCACAGGGGTTCGGGAGAGCTAAGATTCTATGCAGTTCGGCGAACCCCCAAATCCCACTCCTGGCTGGCCCTGCCCACCCCTCCCAGGAGTCCCCACACAGCCCATTTTGGATGCAGGTAAGTGCAGGGCGTGCACGGAGGCTTGGAGAGGAAGGAAAACGGGCCTCCCGGAAGTTCGGGAAGGCCAGAAATGGGCCCGTTTCTGGCTTCCACAGAGCCTCCGGAGCCCGGGGGAGGCTGTTTTTGCCCTACCGGAGGCCTGAGGAAAGCCCCTGGAGTCCAGGGAGGGCAAAAATGCTCCCCCTGCCAACTAGGAGGGGGAGGCCAACTAGGCCACACCCACCATGGCCACGCCCTCCCAGCAATCGGGCAGAGAACCCTTTGCTAAAATTTTTGAAGTCCACCCCTGCTCCCTGTGGACCAGACCCTCTGTGCCAAGCAGAGGTGGGATTCAGCCGGTTCTGACCGGTTCTGGAGAACCGGTAGCAGAAATTTTGAGTAGTTCAGAGAACCGGCCAATCCCACCTCTGACTGGCCCCGCTAACCCCATTTCTTCTCTGCCTCCCACTGAGTCCAAGCTGATTGGCTGCGTCTCCTTTGGTTGCCCTGCCCAGGAGAACAGAGCTGGAAAGCAGGTTAGAGGGGTAGGGAGGGAGATTTTGCAGTATATCCTTCCCCTGCCACGCCCACCAAGCCACGCCCACAGAATTGGTAGTAAAAAAAATTTGAATCCCACCACTGGTGCTAAGGATGGGAGTGGACTGCATGTTCCTCCAAAGCGAGCAGGAGGAGGAGGAGGAGGAGGAGGAGGCAACTGTTGCAGGTTAGAAATGCAGTCTCCTGCCCATCTTTTTAAAAAAGGGGGTGTCAAATGGGATTTCTTTGAGGGCCGGGTCACCATTGTAGTTCTCCTCCATGCACCCCCAGCCCTCTTTTGGCTGGCAAGGTGCTGCAGGAGGCTGTCCAGGCTGAAAATGTGCTGCGCGTGGGGCCCCAGTGCCCTGTTTTGGCTTCCAGGGGCCCAGAGGTCTTTTGCTATTTCAAAGCTGGCTCCAGAGGCCAGATTTAAGCACTTCGGGCCAGGAGTTGGACACCCCCAGATTAGATGGTTGAACTGGCATAAAACATATTTCCATTAAACACACACACACACACACAAAAGCTGGATAATCTTGGATCCTAAGGAGAGGGGTGCATGAATGGCGCCACCTCCAGCCTCCCAAACATTCACCTCTGGCTTGGCTCCCTAGAACAGAGGCAGAAACCTCCAGCTGCTTCCAAGCTGGATATTCCCTCCCTCCCTCCCTACACACACACACACACACACACACACACACACACACACACACACTCCAGTGAATTTGCACACTGCGTTCTTCTGTGCCTTTGCTCTTGGCCATTTCCACCTCCCTTCCCCTCCACCGAGCTCTGGAAACCAAGCGCATTGCAAAATATGGCTGGGCAGGAAAGGAAGAGCCTCCCCCTCACCAGCTGGGACAGCAGCACATTGACCAGGCGTCTAAAAATAACTTCTCCAAGTTTTTCCCATCGGTGCCTTGGGACTCCAAGTCCCGAGAACGCCCTGCTTGCCTTGGCTTTTCGGCCCCTCCTCTGCCTGCCAAAGACTGGAACCGGAACTCCTGGAGGCCAAGTTCCAGCCGGGCCGGCCGCAGACAATGGCGCACACAGAGAGGCAGCCACGAGCTCGGATAGCGTTGGAGTTCCAGGATCAGGGAGCTTGGCAGGGAAGCCACAGACAGACTCTGGGGCTTAGCTGTCAACTCAAATTCTGCAGCAAGAAAAGCCTGCAAAAATTAAGCTCTTTTTTTGGGGGGGGGGGCAGGTCTAATCTGATACCTATAAGCCAGTGTTTCTTAAGCCTGGCCACTTTTTTAATGCAAAGCCAACCAATAAGGTAAGTTTATGCTTCAATATACCATGAGAATCTGAAAGCTAGGTTGACTCAGTAACCAGTTAAAGCATACTGGACAAGCTGAACCAAAATGGTTAGCCCATTGTTCAATATATTTGACCATTTTTGTATACATTGGGTTAATTCAGTGCAATGAGATTGACTGTGCCAAGTAAACCCACAGTGTGCTGTGCTCACTCCTTGGGGCAGAGACGTCAGCCCTGGGGGTCTAAGACAATGCGCTGCAGCTAACTCACTACGGCCATCGCGTCACAGCCAACTCGCCATGGCCAACTCACTGTAGGACCCCTCCCTGTGGAACAAGAGTTACACCAACACCAAAGAAATGGTGGAATAGGATCATGAAAGAAAGGGTGCAAAAGGAGGGGCAGAATGAGACGGGAATGAGAAAAATGAATGTATTCTTTTGTTTATTTTAAATAAGTAAATTGAATTGCTAAATTGTCCTGTGGCAAATTGGCCATGGCAGGTTGGCTGCAGCAAGTTGCCCCATTCTGCAGCTCCATTCCCAGGTAGATGAAACCGTTAGTGAAGCAGAAATATCAGCGCTCCCACAGCAGAGACCCCCAGGGGACCTTCCTCACAGTCAACCCCCCAGGTTCAACATTTGCCCACCAGCCCCCTATATACCCACCAAGGCCCACTGGGGAAATAGAAGAGGAAGGGTCGCTCTCTCTTGCCCCAAACTCCATGGAGGCTCGTGCAGAGCTTCTGACTGGCCTTGGGAAAAGAAACAGGTGAGATCTTACCTATCGGGCACTCCTCCTCTTGCTGTCTCCATCCTGGGCAGCAAACAAATCCAGAGGACCTGCAGAAGAGACATAACTCAGTTAGAAAATTACCAAGGATCTTCACATCCCAGGTCAAGCTAAAGGACACGTGCAAAGCCTCCTGGGGACTCAGAAAGGCCACGCTGCAAGAGGTAAACCTCTTCCTCGCCTCCTTCACGGCCTCCTTCTCTGCACCCAGTTCCACAGCACTAGTATGCCTGGCCAATACAGCCCACTCCTTGCCCATACTTCCCCCTCCACAAGAATGGCAACAGATCTATGAATAAGCCACGGTGGGGCAGTGGTTAGAGTGCAGTACTGCTGACTGTCGGCTGCCTGCCATTTGGCAGTTCAAGTCCTACCAGGCTCAAGGTTGATTCAGCCTCCCATCCTTCCGAGGTGGGTAGAATGAGGAGCCAGATTGTTGGGTGTTGACTCTGTAAACTGCTTAGAGAGGACTGTAAAACACTGTGATGCGGTATATAAGCGTAAGGCCTATTGCTGTTGCTATTCTCCTTCCTTCCTTCCTTCCTTCCTTCCTTCCTTCCTTCCTTCCTTCCTTCCTTCCTTCCTTCCTTCCTTTGCACAATAGTTAGGATGCAGTATTGCAGGCTAATTCTGCCCACTGCAAGCAGTTCGATCCTCACTGGCTTATGGTTGACTCAGCTTTCCATCCTTCCGAGATTGGGGGCAATAAGCCTACTCTGTAAACCACTTAGAGAGGGCTGTAAAACACTGTAAAGTGGTATATAAGTCTAAATGCTATTGCTATGAATAGTAGAGATTATTTTTTTTAGCTTAGCCGCAAAAGTCACCAAATAGTAGATTTACATCCTAAAGAAGATTTGGAGCAATAGGAGGCTGGGAATACTGAACTTTCTCACTCACATGATCAGATCACAGATAAGCAGACAATTGCTATAGAGTCCCACACACAGATCCCACAACATTGTGTTGTGATCTTCCTAGCAACCCCGAGAGCAACTTCATCTCTGCTTTGGGTCTCAGCCCTCTGAAGATGACAAACACACGAGAATGACCACTTATACCAGAGTGGACTTCAACTCCCAGAATTACGGGAGTTGAAGTCCACAAGTCTTAAAGTTGCCAAGTTTGGGGACCCCTGGCTTATACCAAAGTAAGCAAAGCACAGTTATGAAATAAAACCAACAGCAACATGACTAAAACCAGGAGAAAACTTCCAACCACAAATCCTTTCCACCAGTTTCCTGATGACTGCATTCAAATGTAGAAAGTTAGCACCCACCCCTCTCCCGGAAGAATGAAATATTTTGAGAAATATAAAAAGGCAGAACATTATATTTCCTTGGGTGATGTTGTGAATCAATAAAAAGTAACTTAGCCCAAATGCAAAGCAGGTTTTGAAAGCCTGCACACCTGATTGGTCCTTAAACAAAGAACAAGGATTGGTCCATAACAAGCCCCTGATTGGACAATATTAGGACACTTCTTATTGGGTTTTAGTTGAACTTGTTGCACATATTATTGGTTAATAGGGTAGCAGCCAACCCTATAAAAGGGTTACTGCTGCCCATATCCTTGCTCTGTTCTGTTCTATCTACTGTTATTAAAGAGTTGAAGTCACTGGTCAGATGTCTGGTCTCCATTATCCTCCAAACTTAACACTGGCGACGAGGGTGGGATGCGGAGACCGAAGAGCTGACTGATCTACAGAGCAACCAACAGAGCACGTGGTCGAACACGCACTATCAACGGCAACATGGCCAGCGGTGCCGTACCACCCGCTCCATTCGACCCAGAAACCGAAGAATGGGAGTCGTACATGGATAGATTCCAGATGTTTCTGGAGACCAATAACTTGAAAGATGCAACAGCCAGCAAAAAAAGAGCTGTATTTCTAACCCACTGCGGGCCTACCGTGTTTAAAATGGCAAAATCACTTGCCAAGCCAGCCGAAGTAAAAGAGATGGACTGGGACGTCCTCGAGCCTTTGCTACAGGCCCATTACGCGCCCACCGTGCCAACCTTAGTCAGAAGGCACGAATATTACCAGAGGGTCCAGCGGAAAGGCGAAAGTCTTGCAAACTACATCGCAGACCTCCGAAACCTTGGAGGCCTCTGCGGATTCTCTAACTTAGAAGAAGCCCTCCGAGACCGCCTAGTTCTGGGCCTAGAAGACTGCTCAATCCAGAGCAAAATCATGGCTAAGGGGGACATCAGCCTCACCGATGCCATTAAAGAAGCCTCGGCAGCGGAAGCAACTAAGAAGTCGGCAGCACGAATGCGCCGTACCAGCGCACCGCTACGTCAACTCGCCAATGATACCTCGCCTCGCTCAGAGAGACACCTGGTATTGACTCACCATGAAGACCTAGAATCCCCGTCAGAAAGTGATGAGGAAGAGGTCAACCGACTCCGAACTGAACGAGACCAGTTCACACAACGCTCACTTCGACCTTGTGCAGGATGTGGAGCGAATCACCCACGATCCAGCTGTAAATTCCTTGACGCACTCTGCCGCGTTTGTGGGAAAAGAGGTCACATCGCAAAGGTTTGCAGAAGCAAACAAAACTCCAACTCCAAACCCCGACAGGCCGAATGCCAGTTTTCAGGATTCGTCGGCACACCCCGAGACAAACTGAATCACCAATGGGGAGGCCACTCCTACAGAAACAAACCGTCCACCACTTCCACCAGGCAGGAAGAAACCAGTCGGGAAGAGACCCACCAGACAATTACAATAGGCCACGCTACATCCCTAGATGCCGGGAAAATCAAAGTGAAGGTCGCTATCGAAAACAAACCTTGTGTGATGGAGGTGGACTCAGGATCATCCCTCTCGATGGTGTCCTGGAAGACGCCCCAACAGCTCATTCCAACGATTCGCCGCCAAGACCTCAACCCTCAAAGGGTTATCCTCAAAGATTACCAGGGTAACCGAATTCCCGTCGTCGGGTCCCGCCGATTCCAGGTCTCTTTCAAGGACCGCACCGTCGCACTGCCACTGACTGTCGTTGACCGTGACCGGCCTAGTCTTTTAGGCCTGCAATGGTTCGGACCGCTCGGGATCACTGTAGCCGGAGTCCACCGTGCCGAGAGCAACGATTGGGAGGAAGCCCTCGTGCAAGAATTCCAAGACGTTTTCGCGAACGGACTAGGCAAGTACAAGGGGACCCCGATCTCATTTAACTTGAACCCTGAGGTAGCACCCATCCGCCTTAAGCCGCGTCGGGTGCCGTTCGCCCTGAAACCTAAAATTGACGAACAACTCGATAAGCTAATAGCACAGGGCGTGCTGGAACCCACCGACCACGCCCGGTGGGAAACCCCAATAGTGACGCCTATCAAGCCTGATGGGTCACTGAGAATTTGCGGAGACTACCGGGCCACCCTAAACCACGCACTTCAGCAAAGTGCATATCCAGTGCCGGTAGTGCAACACCTGCTCCATTCCCTGGGCGGCGGGAAAGTTTTCGCTAAATTAGATCTAGCGCAGGCGTATCAACAATTGCCTGTAGATCCGGCCACCGCGGAGGCGCAAACTATCGTCACGCATAGGGGCGCATTTAAATGCAACCGGCTCCAGTTCGGGGTGAGCGTCGCTCCAGGAATTTTTCAGAGCTTAATGGAAAGGCTGTTACAAGGAATAAGATGGGTCGTACCGTATTTCGACGATGTACTCATCACCGCCCCTAACAGAGACATTCTAGAAAAAACGACTCCGAATGGTTTTTACAAAGGTTCCAAGACGCCGGCCTCAAAGTCAAAAAAAATAAATTCCAGTTATGTACCGAAAGGGTGGAGTTCTTGGGATATCTCCTGGACAGTCAAGGAATCCATCCCACTGAGAACAAATTAAAGGCAATTAAGAAGGCCCCCACTCCAAGGAACAAGGCAGATCTACAGGCGTTCCTTGGACTTATCAATTTTTATAACGTCTTTTTACCCAATAAAGCAACGGTAGCTGAACCATTACATAGACTCTTAGACAAAAAAGCAACGTGGGTTTGGGGACAACGTGAACAATACGCTTTCCAACAAGTAAAGAAATTGCTGACTTCTGATTCTGTACTTATGCAGTACAACGAGACTCTGCCGTTAACTATTACCTGTGACGCCTCACCTTTTGGGGTTGGAGCAATCCTGGCCCACGTATTACCGAACGGAGCAGAAGCTCCCGTCGCATTTTTTTCACGAACTTTAGCTAAAGCTGAAAGAAATTATAGTCAGCTTGATAAAGAAGCTTTAGCTATTGTGGCTGCAGTTAAACGATTTCATGAATATGTGTATGGGCGTGCGTTTACAATAATTACTGATCATAAACCACTACTGGGGATTATTGCGGGTAATAAACCAACCCCGTATATATTGTCCCCCAGAATGACCCGCTGGTCTGAATTCTTGGCGGCGTACAACTACACTTTGCAACACCGCCCGGGGAAATCAATTCTCCACGCTGATGCATTGAGCAGAACACCACTCCCAGAATCGGTTGAAGATCCAGCCCCAACCATCACAACGCTACAAATTGAGGCTCTACACGCGCCGCCATTGACAGCGAGAGACATTGCCCTCGAAACAAAACGAGATCCGGTCCTGCAACACATCCTACGATGGGTTGAACGTGGTTGGCCAACAGAACAATTATCACCTGAATGGGCGCCTTTCAAAACCCGCCAAACTGAACTGTTTTCCCAAAAGGGCTGCATCTTGTGGGGCGATAGAGTCGTAATCCCGGACAAACTGCAACGAACTGTGTTAGCGGTATTACATGACGGACATCCGGGCATCGTGCGAATGAAAGCACTCGCACGGAGCTACGCCTGGTGGCCGGGAATCGACAAAAGAATCGAGGCCTGGGTCGCTACTTGTCAACGTTGTCAGGACGTCAGCAACGCCCCACCTAAAGCAAGCCCAACCGAATGGGAAACTCCGAGGGGACCATGGTCCCGTATTCATATTGACTTTGCGGGGCCTACAAAAGGGCACACTTTCCTTATTACAGTCGACGCCTATTCAAATTGGCTCGAGATCCATCGGATGAACACAACTACAACGGACTCAGTTATCAACAAATTAAACAGGCTATTTGCCACTCATGGTTTTCCGGACGTTCTGGTCTCAGATAACGGCCCACAGTTCACGGCATTACCATTTGAACAATATCTTGCTAACCGGGGCATCCGCCATGCGCTAACCTCGCCCGCGCACCCTGCAGCGAACGGACGTGCAGGGCGCATGGTACAGTTTGTAAAAAAGACCCTC